TCTGAATCTCAAACATGCAATCAGATCAAATCTCACATCCTCGATGTGACCAAATGCTGGGCAACCAAATATCCGACACAACCCAAAATCTGAAGCAGCTCCACCAGATCCAAAATCTCCACACGTAGTAGTCGGCAACCTATGACCAAGATGACCCAAATATGTCGAAGCTCTAAAATCAAAACCAATGCTCGACAACCAACGCTGATCCCCTTCCAGTAAGGAACGACCTATCAAAACTGTCATCTCATCTCGTCGCCCCAATGTCTCCACATCAATGAAGTGTCTCAAACTGCCATGAGCTCGGCACAAATACAAGAAAGAACCCATACCAAAGCTAGAACGATCGGTTACCTTTCTGCCAATACACTTGTTACAATTGTTGTTGACTTCTAGGACTTCACACCAACGGGACCTGGTTGCAACCTACCAATGCCTAGAATTATCCCCAACTGTAAAAACAAAATGCCGATTACCTCCCAATGATGCCTCCTTAGAAGGCTCCCAAATGCCTGACTGAACACCACCTAAAAGACCCCTCGATCGATGGATAGAAGTACCAAACTTCACCTCGTATCTTCTTGCTCATACCAATGTGCTCAAAGGACTTCAATCTGTAAGTCAAAGCACTCCTCAACAAACCATGCACGACATAACCAATCAAATAACCCAGCCTCAACAAATGCCACAGTCTAGCCAAATCCAAAGAAGTCGTCAGCTCTCTATCAAACATCGTGCTCCCAATCAAATAATACAAATTATTCCTCCTGACGCCCTTCATCACAATCATGAACCCCAATGTGACCTTCAAAGGTGAATCGACGAAGGTCATCCTATAACTTGCTGCCTCCAAAACTCCAAGTAAAATGATATTCTTCTTCAACTGAGGAACGAACCTCACTCCAACCAACTCCCAAATCACTCTGTCACTCATCCTAATCCGAACGATACCGATACCACCAATAGGACATTCATGATCATTACCCATGAGCACGACCTCCCCTCTTTCCAACTCCTGAAAGCTGGAGAACTAATCCCTCTTAGGACAAATATGATAAGAAGCACCCGAATCCAATATCCACTCTGTAGAGTCGGCAATAGAAACTGATGGTAGTACAGATAACGAGTAGCCTGAAGAATCCGAATCTGAATTATTACCACTAGCCTTGACAACATTCACCTCTGAAGCTTGAATAGCTTTCCCCTTATTCTTTCCGGCTCGATCAACCAACTTTGGGCATTCGGCTTTCCAATGTTCATCCTCTTTACAAAAGGCACACTGATTCCTACGAACTCCAAGATGTGCCCCTCTAGACTGTGACCTCCTACCACGGTTTGGACTCTTTACTCTTGCGACCAATGCCCCCGCTATCGGCTCAACTGAAGTCTCCTTATCCTTCTTTCGAAGCTGATAATTCACAAGTGCAGCGGTGATCTCACTATAAAAAAATGTCTACCTATTAATAAGAGTAAGAACGAATATCTCATATTCCTCGTTAGGTAAGGAACTCAACAACAACAACGCCTTATCCTTATCTTCAATCATCACATCTACATTCGCCAAATCCGTAAGAAGCTTCGTGTAGTGGTTCTTGTGATCATCAATGGAGGTCCCCTTCTTTAATTGGAAGCGATAAAGCCTCATCTTCAAATGCAAGCGGTTCTCTACACTCTTGGTCAAATACTTGCCCTCTAGAATCTCCCAAATCTTCTTAACCGAAGTCTCATTGATCACATCATATTTTAAATCTTGAGTCAAACAAGATCTAATCACACCACACGCCATTTTATTCATCTTTTTCCAAACCTTCTCCTCAATGTCGTCCGGTTTCCCGTCCAACTCCAAATTATCTTCCAAATTTTGCGCATTGAGCGCATCCAAGATTTCACATCTCCAAAGACCAAAATTATTTGTGTTATTAAACTTCTCCACATCTATCTTCATAGAGTGGATATTCAAACTTTGGACAGTCTTCACGCTGGAAGTACCCTCCACAACTCATTCTTTCCCGACCATCTTTCTTAAAACACCAAAACAAATACGGAACAAATGAAGAATAGATCCAAAACTGAAAAGATAGTCTTTTACCCAAAAGATCCCACCTTTATCACCAAACGAAGCCCTAGGCGAGCCTCTAAAACGACCTACTCCTCCAAATAGCCCAAGCGTAGCCCGAGCTCTGATACCACTTGTTGAGCGCTGCGGAAGCCAAACAACCAAACCAACGTGCTACGAGAAATCAAATCAAACGAACGTCGAGAGAAGGCCAAACGAACCAAATTAATACCACAAACACAAACAACCAATTTTAACGTGGTTCGACAAGTTGCCTACGTCCACGGGACAAGAAGGGGAAAACACAAACAACCAATTTTAACGTGGTTCGACAAGTTGCCTACGTCCACGGGACAAGAAGGGGATATGTTTTTCACTAATAAAGAAGAAGAGTACAAACTGAGATTACAAATCACTCAAACTCACAAATTAATCTCACCAACAAATCTCTAATTCTCTCCAAACAAAACCCTAACCAATAGCTCAGAAAATACATCTTTTCTGTGCTCCAAATATCCCCAATTTTCTTCTTAATTCTCTCTTCCAATTGTTCCATATATATAGAAATCCTAAAATCATAAACATACTAGGAATTCTAAAAAAAAACAGATTAGGAATCCTAATAACCTGTTACCAAAACAGATTTGAAATCATGTTACCAAAACAGATTAGGAATCTCAATAACTTGTTACCAAAACAAACTAGGAAACATATTAGGAACCTGATATCCAACATCCTCTATATAATTTTTGTTCTTGTGCCTCTATTGATGTATATATCTGATGTATATTTTCTATTTATAAGGTGTACTGGAATGGCAAAATACTATTTATAGGGTGTATTCGAATGACAAAATATGAAAGATTTGAGGGACATACTAGCAATTTTAATGGTTTGAGGGACTATGTTAAAATATGAAATATTTTAGTATTTTACGTGCTAAATGGCACTTTTAGATGCCTTATTATTTCATCATCTCAACACTTGCACTCTAAGTTGTAAAAATATAACTAGAATGCTCTAACTTGTTCAAATCTGACATGTTACTGCATTTAGTTGGGTTGAAGTAAGAATATTCTAGAAAATATTCCTATGTGATTGTCATATGTTCTATTTACAATCGACTTAATTTTGTTAAAATTATTACTTTACATTCTCTCATTTTTTATCAAACTGTGGATAGAGAGAAATTTTCATCGCAATAGATTTTTAATAGGGTTTTTATCAAACTGTGGATAGAGAGAAATTTTCATTGTAATATTCTAGCGGTTGACAACTTAGGGCTAGTTCGCTACTGCTGGAGATTTATAATAATTTTCTTATAAAAGCATCTTATATGAGCTACTGAAAATAACAGCTTAGTAATAAAAATATCGAAAATAGTTAAAAAAGCAGCTAAAATATTTGGCAAAACTATGATTAATGATCGTTGTTATAAGGTAAAAGGTATATATGATATATAAACTAAAAAATATATAAGCTGATTTTAAAAGCATTTTCAATTTGTTTCTAAAAGCACTCTCTTAAAGCAGAAGTAGTTCTAAGTATGCAAGAAAAGTTTCACTAGACACCATTAGTGTGTGTTTCTTTAAAAAAATAACTAGAAACCCTAAAAAAAACAATACCAAACTAGTCCTTAGAGTATTTAAGTGCTATGTTTTACGGCATAGGTTATTTAAGTATAAATGTGGTGGAACAATAGGGTATTTAAGTGCCATGTACCTTATTTTATGGGACTAATGTCTAAAAACCCATCTTAGTAAGGCCTATATTGATATCTTTATTTTAGGGTTATTTGCATATATACCCCTTAAATCATAGATATTTGTAAAAATACCCCTCAAATCTAGGGGTTTTGGACTGTTCTATTCCATCGATTTTGAGTATTCAAGTTTAATTCGAGAGACTATGTAGAATTTAGGCGCAATAGCTGTCGCTTTGGATTTAATTTTTTTTCAATTTGTAGGAAACTCTCCGACCTCTTATGCAAGCTCTAGGGTTTAAAGAATAATAGAATTCAAGGGTCTTAGACTACGTAATCCTAAGTTTACATTTAATTTCTTTCTCTTGCTGTTCGAAATTGTTCTGGAACAGCAGGCCAATGTGGTCGTCTCTATTGTTATTCTGTGGAAGATGACAATTTGTCAATTGACGTGAGAGACCCTAAACCCCCGATCCCCTTTTCTCCCCTCAAACCCTCGATCCCCTTTCCCCTCAACCCTAATGTCGTCGCCGCCTCTCCGAATCTCCGCACTTGCTGCCGCCTCCGACTGCTCCCCGCAGCCTTCGACATCGCAGCGCCTACGAGGAGGAAGCGAGACGGAGGAGGAAGCTGAAGCGGGAGATCGAGGACCGTCAAGTCAAGGTGCCTGCTCTGGCCTCAAGTCTCCCCTTCGAAAACCACCCACTCCGCCCTCAAGTCCCGACTCGACAACCACCACTCCACCCTACCGCAGCCGACATCCTCCTCCACGTCGTCTCCAAAACTCTAGAGAACCCTGCTTTCGTCCTCATCCGTCGCCCTCGCTTCCACCCCTGCCGTCCCCGCTCACCGTGCCGTTCAGGTACCCACTCCACAACTCACTTTGATCGAAATTTATTCATTGTTGTGATTCCATAGAATTAGGGCATCACACTGTGATTCGATCTGGGCGTCATTCGTGATCGAAATTTAGGGCTTCATTGCTGTGATTCTGTAGAATTAGGGCATCACACTGTGATTCGATCTCGGCGTCGTTCATGATTATACTATGTGTCTGTGATCAAGTGGGTTTTGTTTGTGGATTTGTCTGTACAATTTTTGGTCAATAAAATGGTGTTTTGAAAATACGTTTGAAAAATAAACACCATGGTATGATGTTTTAAAAAAAAAAAAAAAAAAAAAAAAAACACTTTAGTTACCAAACACACTCTAGTAACCAAACAAGCCCTTAATATTTTGAGGACTTGGAGTTCCGTTCGAGAGAAAGCATCAAACTTTATGGCATTAATTTCTGATTTTTATTTAATTTTCTAGTTTGGAGGGGATAGGAAAGAGGGTTGTTTGAGATCTGCATGCGGATAGGAAAGAGGGTTGTTTGGGCCAACGATCCCGCGTCCGAAATGTGTTGGATGCGGATTCGCTGCAGACTCGTAGCGGATACGGGTCTGGTCTAAAAAAATCCGCCTTCTCCATACCCGATAGCCCCAAAACTGAAGATAATCGCTTATGGGGTTCAAAAACAACCCGATAACCCGAACCCATCGCGCTTTTCTTTCTCCGTTCCCCTCTTCATCTTCTTCGAAGCTGCTCCGTTACCAAACCCATCCGCTTTACTCCGTTTCCAAGCTGCTCGACGCCGACCAGAAACCTTCAATTGGAGTTCGCCGGAGTTCGACGAGAGCGGGAGAAGAGAATTAGTGAGTGATTTTTAGTTTTTTTTAGTTTTAGCGTTTTTTTTGGGGTTTTCAGAATTGAAACCCAATTTTTAATTGTGTTGGGATCTTTGTTATATAGTATCTAAATCATCAAATTCTGAATAACATAAGATTTGTATTTCTCACTTTCATCTTTTTATTAGTTTGTTGAAGAAGAACAAATTTTCAAAATACTCATTTTATTTTTTTATTAAAAAATTCGAGCCAATCACTTTTTATTTATCAAAACCGACACCATTTCGTGGCCACGTCAGCAACGTGACCACGAAATGGGTCGGTTTTTTTAATGACGCCGCTAAATTGTCGGGGTTGGCAACCCCACCTATTTAGTTATGCACAAGCTAAATTAGTCGGGGTTGCCAATCCCGACTAATTTAGTACCCTGTCTAATTCGTCAGGGTTCCCAAACCCGATCATTTGGCAGAGAGCTCTGGCCTAGTTGCTCGTTGGAAGTGAAAACGGTCGGGGTTGGAAACCCCGACCATTTAGTAGAGGAGAATTTTTCTATGACAAAATAGTCGGGTTTGGGAACCCCGAACATTTTGTGTGCGTGCACAAAATGGTCGGGGTTACCAACCCCGATCGTTTGGCACACTCACTCACACACTGTCAGCTGAAAATTCAAACTCCTGCTGTTACATATCAATCCACAATCAATGCACAATGCAATCACAATCATAATCACAATAATACACATACCAATCAATAATCTTAACTGAAAATCCATAATCAATCGGATACATACCATGTAATTCACATACTAATAATTAATACTCAATCGAATACATAATATTTAGTTTCAAACGCAAACATCCTATCAATACTCAATCAGATACATAATATTCAGTTTCAATCGGATACAACTCCCTTTCCTCTCCCTCTCCCTCTCCCCTTCCCCCTGACACGTTCACCTTCGACGTGAGCTCGGATGAGTTTCTCGTCCGGTTGTGTGTGAAGTTGGGAGTGCATGACATCCTCATCGACTCGAACCGACTGTGAACATCCAGCTTGGGCCTACTGTGAGCCGCCAGCTTCATCATATGCACCGCTTGAGCCTGTCCCCGTGTGTCCTCGGAACCGTCGACGACTATACTCAATTGGTCGCTCCTCACGTCCATCACGTCTTGCATTACGCGTCCTCTGCAGAGCGGATCGAATCTTTTTGATCATGCGAATGAACGTGTTCCTCGGCCCTGGCTCGGTAGTCGTTCGGATTGCATCATGCGCCATAGTAGAAAGTTCTTCGAGCTCTTGTACCTATAAGATAAAAACCCTAAGAAAGCTATTATGATTTGGATGATAATAAAATAAAACTCACAAGATAACTGTATATTTTGCTTATACACTTACCAACTCTCTCTCAACTAGGCCTCTTGGTATGTACTCCTTAGGGGCTTTGTTCTCCTGAAATATCCACCGGCGAGTAATCCCCCAATACCATCGCAAATACACACCTAGGTCAGGTGTGTCGGCCCTCTCCATCTGCAGATGTTCTTCCTTGTAATCCCACCTCCCGATGTAAGCATCGCAAATATGTTCCCAATCCTGACGATGTGCACCTTTTCTGGGATTTCTCTCTATTATCTCCACAGGGTCCAGGATATGTTGTAGCCCAAATTGTCGGAGCACACGGTCGGACACGTGCATCTCGACAATCTCAAAACATATGATCGGGACGCGAGCACACCATACATCCGGCTCTTCTCTGCATATATCTGGTAGTGACTCTAAAACTAGTTCATATGGCATCCACTTGACCTATAAAAAGATAAAGTAAAGCAGATTTCAGTAATAAATGATGTAATGATTGAATTTTTTTAGATATTATGATTTAATATCTGTTCGTCCTCCATTTGATCGAGCTCGTTCCTATAGAAGTTTTCATGGTCCTTTGGTGAGGTATGCCAAGATCTGGATACATTCCATCTAATTTATATACAATGAGTTAGTATTAATTAAAATAAATGTATAAAATTACATGTAATCGTATATTTTTCAAAATAACTTAGTAATATCTGCAGTCTAACGGAATATGACCATCGAGAGCACATGCCTCTCTCAAATCTGGGCAACCCAAATGCAATCTCTCCCAAAACCATATCTGTAGCAGTGTGAGACAACCCTTGAATCCTATGTTTTGAACAAGAGCCACTTTGGTCATCTCCCTATACAAATGCGCTAACACGACACTCCCCCGTGACAATCCCCCACAATCCACATGATCCTCCAGGAGTGGCAACCACCTCACGTGCACCGAATCCTTCGTGGAATACGGGAAAAGAATAGTACCGATCATGTGAAGTATGTATGCACGGGCATACATCTTGACGATCTCCTCGGTCGCATCGATCAGAACATTCATGTAATTATTTCTCAACCATTCAAGCTTGATCCTTCCACCCCTCATGTGAGGAACTTAACCCAGCAATGCTTCACACTTCCCAGACCAGTCGAAGTCGTCGCTACCTGTGACAACATCTCCATCCACTCTGAGTCCAAGCAAAACCCCAACATTCTGCAATGTAATCGTCGACTCTCCTTGGCGCAGGTGGAATGTGTTTGTCTCGGGCCTCCAACGTTCAACCAATGCCGTCAAGAGAGCCCAATCAAGTCTCACCCATTTAATTTGTGAGCACTCAAAGAAACCTGCTTGACGGACATAATATTGGACATGCGGATCGGTCAACTCCCAGCTCGAGTGTGCACGAGTGTTATCAACGATAGTAATGCTCGGGGCTTGCATATAATAAATAGTATGTTTCTTTCCGGCAAATGCATATAATTTCCAAGGACGTGTAATTAGATTCATTCCCCTCTGTCCGACCTTACCTTTGTGTATTCATAAAACAGATTGCCTCATAACTTGTGCGATTGTTTTTAATTTGCTTGAATTTGACCAACTTTTTGATTGAGTAATCACGAATAGCATCAACCAATTGGTCTTTAGTCTTAAATAATTCACCAACTCTGAAAGGGACCTCCTCATCATCTCCTCTATTGGATGAACTTTCGCCAATGCGTATATCATGTACTGTGAAAGAACGAACCCACTCATCATCCTCAAACTCGTCGGGGGTGGTTCTTCGTACTCAACATATTCATTATTAACATAAGCTTCATCTGGCCAATCCAGATTCTCTTCATCATCTTCACCCACAAATTACATGCTGTCGATTGGTGCATTATCTTCATCTTTACCATCAGAGGTGTCGCTTCTTTCATCCTCTTCATATGAAGGCGCACCACTGTGATATTGAAATTGAGTCCGTTGCATTTCACTCGAAGAAGAAAGAAAACCTTCAGACTCAACTCCCAAATCTAACATGCGTGAGAAATCTCCTGGAGGTTTGAATATTTGGCCCATACTATGTGGCACCGTTTCAATAAACAATTCTACCGTTGGTTGTGACTTGCTCAAAGTAAACAAAATATTAATCGAATGATCGTTTGAGATCTCAACTGCGGACGTTCTATCATAAGTTATCGGCCAATTGCATATTATTTGGACGTTCTATCATAAGTTATCGGCCAATTGCATATTATTTTTAGTCGATACTCTCGTGGGTCAATTGTCGTAACTCGATGCAATTCATTAGGGCCAATTGCATATTATTTTTAGTCGATACTCTCGTGGGTCAATTGTCGTAACTCGATGCAATTCATTAGCCAAGTCAAGATAACTATATGATTCCGATATCATTAACGGGATTGTCACCCCTCCGACGTACATTGGCATATTATTCAGTCCATAATTAATCGTTCCACCATAAGAGCAAGCAATAAAAATCATATTGTTCAATCTATGCAAAACAAAGTTATATCATTTAAATACAATAAATTTAAAAAATATTATCAATTACAACCCTAAACCCTAATTACAACCCTAAACCCCAATTACAACCCTAAACCCCCAAATCCAAAACCCTAAAATTGACCCCCAAATCCTAAACCCTAAAATTGAGTATTCTATGCCCCAAATGTTTAATTTCAACTACAACAAGAGTAAATTTTCTAAATAAACCACTACAAATAGAGTTCAAACCCTAAAAATTCGTTATTGAGAAAAAAACCCTATATTTTCTACATGTTAAAAGAGGAGAAAATCTAGAGATTACCTGGTAGATCTTTTACGATGAAATTCAGACGAAAATTGAGGTTGAAATCCCCAACTGGTGGCTCAAACAGAGTTTGGGAGGAGGGGAACGACGAAAATGAGAGAGAGAAGCGGCTGGAAACGAACGAAAATGAGAGAGGTGAAGTTGTGGCCTTTATAGGCGGCGGGCCCAGTTAACAAATAGTCGGGGTTCACAAGCCCGACTATTGTCCTTAGCCGTTTTCATCAGCTGCGACTGGGCCAGAACTCTCTGCCATATGATCGGGTTTGGGAACCCCGACCATTTTGAAAGCCCGTTTCGAAATGGTCGGGGTTTTCAACCCTGATCAATTAGATAGGGCCCTAAACTAGTCGGATGAGTTTTAGCTTGTACATAACTAAATAGTCGGGGTTTCCAACCCCGACTATTTAGCGGCGTCATTAAAAAAAACCCAACCCATTTCGTGGCCACGTTGCTGACGTGGCCACGAATGAGTCGGTTTTGATAAATAAAAAGTGATTGGGTCGAATTTTTTAATAAAAAAATAAAATGGGTTTATTTTGAAAATTTGTTCTGTTGAAGAAATCTGTCTGCTTTATTTTTTTTACTGTTGATTTCATATTTCCTTGTTTTCGGTTTTCTGTATGCTAGTTTTTTATTCAAATATGCATTTAGTCAAGTATATCAGGTTCCTAGGGTTTAACTTCATTTTTTTGTTCAATTTATTTCAGTTTCATCTTTTTGTTCTCTGTTTTCTGTATGCTTGATTTCATTTTTTGCTGCTCAGTTTCAAAATTTTTAATACTTTTCTACGTACGATTAATTAGTGGTTGTGTGGTTAATACTTGATGATTATAGGAAATTAAATGGAAACGCCAAGTCCTATTGAAGTGGATACAGATATTCGAAGTGAGAATCAAATTTGCTTGCATTTTCATAATAAACATATGTACAATTGTACATGTATGTTGATTACATAAGTCAACATCATGATATACACGTTTTGTTGATTACATTATTTCATCCATCTCAGTTTCGGTTTTCATCTTGTCTCTAAATCTTCAAAAGATCATCACACATACAATCACGTCCTATCTTTTACAAATTTGCCGTGTCTGTATCAGTGTTTCAGTGTTCGTGTCCGTGTCCGTGCCTGTGCTACCTAGTTTGCATGTGAAGCAATTTTGCTTAGAGCATTGATTGATGACCTAGCAATTTTGCTTATAGTTCTATTGTTTGATATAGTATATCATGTGACGAAGAGTTTGATTATACGTTTAGAAGAAACTTTTTCCCCTATCTTAGCGTCTTCCTTATTAAACACACTCCCCACATTTATTAATATCTGATGCTATATTTTTCTATCCGTTTAATAATTTCTACTGCTCTTGCTATTCTTTAATATATTTCTATGATTTACTTGAAATTTTGTATTGTAGCAGCACTGGTTTAAATGTTCATGGATGTCATGTGGTTGCTACAGTATATGGTTTCTAACTTAGGATTAGAAAGAGAATTTTTTTTCTCAACTGAAATCCTTCTAATGGATTCTTCTCATTGGCAAACATGTGGGGAGACAAATATTCTACTCCTTCAGATTTAATATACATCTAATCTCATTTGTTGCTGATAATAAAATATTTCATATTTTCCTCCTTTTAGTAGGTGATAATACAGTTCTTGCTTATTTCCGATTCGAGAACATGCTTTTCCCTTTAGAATCCTTTTCAGTGAACATTTTTTTCAAGGTTACATTCAATTAATCCTTATGACATTTAACAGAAATCCACTCAAGGATATGAACAACGTTAACACTCATGATCATCTAATGTTTAACAATATTTTGTACTTGGTATACATTTAATTTCTATTTCTTTTCTCTTCTAAGCAGGAAAGTTGTAACGATTAACTTTGTGAATTACAGTTTTTCTATTACCTACTACACTTTTTGAAAAAAAGTGTACCTACTCAGTGCAATCAACATAAGTCATATCACATATAATCAGTGGTGAATTCAGAAATACTTTTTTTTGGGGGGTGGGGGCAAGTATCTATTTATCTAACAATAAAAATATAGATTACAAAACTATAGTGTGGTCCGTGCAGCGATGGGAGGAAGCAGAAGCGATGCTACTCAATAGAAGTTCGTGCTCATTTGGGATCAGGATCAGTGTTATCAATGCGCGAGGTGCAATGCGGGGTGCCAAATTAGTTTATGCGCACATGCGCAATGCCATGCGCGCTTGAGTGAAGCGAGACGTACTACACAGAAATTTTTAGGATATACAAACATGCATAAAGAAAGTTGTGGTCATGGAACTTCACATAAAAAGATGTTAATGACTCAAAATGAATAATATAAATTACCAAAGTCATAAATAGAGTCTTAGTCATAGACTCATAATACTACACACTCGAGCAGCTCACTACTATTGATGAAAATTAAGTAGTCTACTAAAACAAATTAGATAAGTAACAATATAATAGTCTAATGACTCTAATCATCCTCCTCAACATAATCATCATTCCCTTCTAGGGGAATATCCTCCTCAATTTCCTCTTCTTCGTTAATCTTTTCTTCA